CTCACTCCCAGAACGGTCTTGCACGGGCGAGTGCCTCTTCCTCGCCCGCTCGCTCCCTCGACCTCCGCCATCTCGCTCACTTCGACGGCCTGATCCGCTCAGATGCCCCTCGAGCTCAGCAACCTCTCGCCTGAACTCCTCGGAAAGCTAGTCGCGCGACGAGGCAGAGCGAGAGGGAAGCTGAGAAGGCCAATGGAAGTCCTCGTGCTGCGTTTCGCGAATCCATGCAAAGCGTCCATTCCAGCACACATCCCTTCTACAAGCGTTACATGACGACGACGCTCTTGGCGAGCCAGGCGTCAAAATCGTCCTCGTCCCCGCCGGTTCCCTCGCCCGCTTCCTCGTGGCTCTCCTCGAGCGTCGTCTCCGTCGGGCCCGGCTCGACGTCTGCGCGTTCAGCGTTGTTATCGCCGGCGGAGGCAACGGAATCGTCGAAAGCGGGCTCGTCGTCGGAGAAGGGGAAGTCGAAAGCCGGTTCGTCTCGGCCGCGGACCGCTGCAGTCGCCTTCGACGAGCCAGGCGAGTCGCGGCGGAACAGTGACTCCGCAGTCCTCTCCATCGACGCCTGACGAGACCTCGGCGCGACTGCGGGCGTGTTCGAGAGGTCGATTGGCGAGCTGGACGCAAACTCCCGCAACGAGAGCCGACGACGCTTGCGAGCCTCCTCGGCTGTGCGATCGGTCGGCAGGAGAGAGCGCTTGACCTTGAGCGGACGAGGCTCGGTCGATTCGATAGGCGGACGACGTGGCGGAGAGGGCGTCGAGTCGAGCTGGTCCGTCTCCTCGCTGGCAGGAGCCGCATACGAGTCGGTGCGGGCCGCAGCCCTCGTTTTTGAGCGCTTGTCGAGCGGAGGGAGAGCTTCGATGTCCAGCATATCTTCGTCGTCCTCGTTGTCCTGCGCGGTGGTGAAATGACCGCCAGCGGTCTTGTTGAGGATGATCCGCGACGACGGCGCTGGCTGGAGGCGGAGCGGCTGTTGCTTCGCGTTCGAGAGAGCGGACGGCTGCTTCGAAGCGCTGGTGGTATCTCCAACTGAGCCCTTGTTGGCCGCAGCTGGACGGGTCTTGCTCTTGGTGCGCTTGACCGGCGGCTTGTCGAGCCCTTCGCGGCAGCTGCGAAGGAGGATTAGGCATGTGAGCGGCCGGAAGGTTGAGCGGCGAGAACTTGACAAACCAGAGATGCTTGCATGCCGTCTTATTCGCACAGCTGTGGTTGCATTCGTACCGGCCATCGGGGCGTTGACGAGGCACAGGCGGCGTCGCTGCGGCAGTTGCGGCTGGCTTGATCGGTCCTGCAGCCTTCTTGGCGTGTGGCACCGACTCTGTTGCGGGGGCAAAGTCATCGTGAGCAGAAGGATGGAACTGTCGACGGTCGAGCGAACCTGGCATAGCCTGCGGGTTTGCTTTCTCGCTCGGGCGCTTCGTGCTTGTAGGGAGCTGTGCGAGCGAGTTCGGTGAGTCGCGGTTTGCGGACGCAAGGCGAGACGACCGACCATCGACACCGTCGATTCCTCCACGTCCGAATCTTCCGACGGTCCGAGGCCTGGGTGCGCGAGTATCAGTTTATGCTGTAGCGCCTCGGCAGGGGACGCACTCACTCGGGATCGGGAAGTCGGAAGCCTTGCTCTCGGGCTTGACGACGAGCTTCACCTCGGATCCGGCTGCGGCAGGACGACGTCAGCACGTCACTGAAGGGCGGGGGAAGAGTCACTCACCCAGCAACTCGCACGAAACCGAGATAATGATCCGCTGCGAGGGCTTGACGAGCACAACCGCGAGGTCGAACTGCTTCGGCTGCGCCAAGAGCTGGTCGATGCGGGTGCGACGGAAGCTGCGCACACGAGAGCGTGTGAGCACAGAGATGGACTGCGCGATCACGTCGGAGCGCACTCGACGAATGCTCCGTCGGAAGTGGAGGATGCGACGGTCGCCCACAACTTCATCGGGCCCTTCTTCGTCGCGGGCAAAGGCTTGGTCTGCTTGAGGCGCAGGTCGATCGTCGCCTCAAGCTGAACTCCTTGACCCTCGAGCACTTGCTCGTGCTGTGAGACGACGGAGATTTCGAACTGCGGGATCGACTTGGCTTGCGCGATGAGCTTGCGGCCGAATGGCGGTTTCCTGGTACACCCGCACATCAGCATGCGCTTTCAGGGGACTAGAAGAAGTCTGACAGATGGGCGGCGCACCTGCTGAGGAGGATCTCCAAACGCTCTGGCTCGCACTCGCGGACGTCCTCGAAGCTCTTTATCCCGCTTGAGACGAGAACCTTGTAGCCTGCCGAGAGAGGGAGAGCTCAATCTTAGCGAAGGCACGAGGAGGGCGAAGACGGAGGGATAGACGCACTCTTCTCGCCGATTCCTTCGAGTTGGCGGAGGACGAAGGACGAGGCGTCCCAGCACTTGCCGTTGAGAGAGCGGAGCCTGTCGTAGGTGTCTGAGCTCAGTCGCGACCCGAAAGATAGGGCGCCGGTACGCACAGTTCCAGCATCGTCCTGATGGAGCCGTCCTCGCGCTCGACTGCGACGTCGACCATGCCTGTCGCGGGGATTTTCAGCTCAAGTCCCATCCGCCTGCGCCTGATGAAACGGACGCACATTTTGCGACACGCACGGCGGCAGCAAAGATGCCGCGAGCGTCCAGCATAGGGTTGATATTCTCGTTGCGCAGCTCAGTGCCAGGGATGCCCTCGAGAACGAGCTGTATGAGGATCATGACCTAGCAATGGCGAGCGCCGATGAGTATGGCGTACTCGGTAAGCTGGAGAGACTGTGACGCACCCTGTCTGCCGTCGTCGCGACCTTCTCGGTCGGGAAGCGCAAGTTCTGGTCGACGACGACATCAGCGGACACTTTTCCCTCTCGCTGATTGTCGCGCCTCAACGCACCTTGTTGTACTTCGCAAGAACCTTAAGGGAGCAAGGATCGTCAGACCACGTTCGACGAAGTGAGGAGCCGGACGGACGCACGCTCTTTTCGCCTTGCCTAAAGCGAAACGAGCCGAGTTCGGCCGAGGAGCAGAGCGTCTCGAGCAGAGTGCGCATGTTTGCGCCGACGGGAAGCTCCTTGATGGCGAGAAACGTTTTGTGCGAGATGTAGAACTTGGCCATGATCTGCGGGCGGCGGGACGTGAGTTGAATCCAGGACTTTACTCGTGGTGACATACATCGCCGAAATCTATGAGATAGCCAGAGGGTCAGCAACGAGCGCGAGGGATGGCATAGCGAAGGACTGACGATTCGCAGCCAGCTTGTCTCCGTCCTCATCGACAACACCGCTGCCGACGAGCTCCTTGATGGCTTCGAGACACAGCTCTTCGAGGCGCGCTTCGGGCGTCGACTTGATACCGGGGATCGCGTAGAACGCCGGGTTCTTCGTGATGCGGACGAAGAGGAAGGTCGACCTGAGCCAGCGGAGGGCCGACGGGATGTCGCTGATCGCTGCGGGCGCGGAGGGATGAGCCCGGTGCTGGCGATACAGGGAAGAGGATCACTGGACGCACTGCCAAGCGTGATCTCCGAGTTGACGTGCTCCGTCAAGCTCTTGTGCAGGCTGCGAAGGTTAGGCGCCGTCAGTACGCTCATGGCCAGGTCAAGCTCGGGACGCGACTGACCCGCTCTCAAGGAGACTCTGCATAAAGCCGAAGAGGTCAACCGAAGCTTTAGGAGCCGCTCCAGAAACGAGACTGACCTGCGCGTTGACAAGATTGGCGTATCGCGACTCGGATGCCTTGTCGGTCATGATGCAGGCTGAGCAGATGCTGGTCAGCTTGCTTGAGCTCGCAAAGGCGAGCCGAACGCACCGACGCCAAGCGTGTCGAACTGAGGCCTGCCAGCGCGACCGATCATCTGCAGTATCTCCAGGTCCGAGTAGTCCTTGAGCTGCCCGTCGATGAACGCCTTCGTGCCCTTGATGATGACCTGCGAATGAGAGTGGACGTGTGAGATCTCGTCGTGAGGCGGGCAGGAAAGGCCGTACCATCCTTGCGGGCAGATTGACGCCGACCGCGAGCGTCGATGTCGAGCCTGCGGGGATGAAGCCGCTAGCTATCAGCACAGTGAGCGGAAGGAACTTCGCTGATACGCACAGACGACGCTGACAGTTCCCTCGATGAAGGCGCGCTCGACAAGTCGACGGTCATTGGCGTCCATCCCGGCATGGTGGACCGCCAAGCCGTTCTCGAGCAAGCTGGCGAGATTCTTGTCGGTCGTCCTAAAGTCGTTGCGTGACGGTTTCGGCCAAGCGAGAGATGCACGACCGGTGGAAGACGAGAGCGAGTCCTTGTAGGCCTTTGCGAGCGCCTCGGCGGCTTGCGTGCATCCTTTGCGCGTATTGCAGAAGACGAGGACGCTGCGGGCAAATGAGTCAGAAGGCTGAAGCTCAAGCAGGGGCGCACGGACGCACGGCTTGCCAGAAGCGTACTGCTTGATGAGGTCGAAGAGCTTGAAGTTGAGCCCGTTCGCAAACGCAAAGTCGTTGCCGCCTTTGGGGTATCCGACGACGATCCTATAGGGGAGGACGTAAGCAAATACTCGCAAGGAGCTGGAGCGGGATGCTCACTTCTGAAGCTTGCAGGGCCGGAAGTCATCGCCAAATGTGAACGCCTTTGCCGGCTTGTGGCCCTCCTCGTGCGCGCCGGCACCTGCGAAGAATATGTCAGCGCGTTGCGAGCGGTGCACAAGCTAAAGTCGCTCACCAAGCCAGTCAGCAATGTCGTCGATGTTCGGCACAGTCGCGGAGACGGCGACGAAGCGAGTATCGGTGCCGAGCGTCTTCATGCGGCTAACGACGACTTCGAGAACGGCGCCGCGCACATCGGTACCGACGCAATGGACCTCGTCGATGCTGGAGACGTCATTCGTGAGCACGAGCAGACAGAGCGGTATGCGCGGCGACGTACCAGAAAAGCCTCAGCTGACCGAGCGTAGTGCCGTGGTCGTGCCATTTCCTTGTCATGGCGTCCCACTTCTCGGGCGTCGTGACGATGATGCTGGCGTTCGCGACCTCGCGCCAGGCGCCGGCAACAGCATCGGTATCGCCCGTCAACTCCTGCACGACCCAGCCGAAAGTCTGCTCGAACTTCTTCTTCCAGTCCGCGACGCGCTCGGAGCACAACGACTTAGTCGGGGCCTGCGGAGGAGAGCGTCAGACCCAGGAGATGGCACGGCCGGAGACGAAGCTGCGGACCATGTAGAGGACCTTGGCGTCCGAGACGTCCGACTGCGTGAAGAGGCGAATGACAGCAAGCTCGAAGAGCACCTATAGATGATGGAAGATCAGCCAGACTCTCGAGAAAGAGGCGAAGCGAGCTGCACCGTCTTTCCCGAACCAGTCGGCGCCGAGATCACCACGTTCTCGTCGCTGTGGTAGACCTGCGATGATCGAAAGCGTCAGCTGCGCTCGCGCACGGCGAAGAGGCTATGCCTACCGTGTCGAAGGAGAGAGACTGGACAGCGTTGAAAACGCCGAACCGCCAGAGCGAGCGGAAGATGTCGGCTGCTCGACGAGGCGTCAGCGGCCGGAATCACAGGAGTAAGAATGGGTGCTGACGCACGCAGTTCGCTGACGGGGCGCAGCTTGATGCCCTTCTTCTGTGCGCGAACCGTTCCGCCGGCAGCTTTCGGCTTCGACGGGCCACCGAGGGCGGCTTCGACGTCTTCGAGATACTGCAAGTTCTCCTGCGCCTTGCTGGGGTCGCGAGAGGTGGACGCGAAGCTGCCAGACTGAGGGGCGGCAGGTGCTGAAGCCGGTCACAGGTCAGCGAACGGGGATTTGGCGAGTATCAGGCGAGGCCGACTCACGCTGTGGGCCGTTGTGTGCCATCAGAGCATCTTCCCAGCTGGTTCCGCCGCGCCCGCCTTGCTGGTTCGACGATCCGTTCGCGCCCCATCCCGGTTCGTCCTCCCAGTACTCCTCCTCGCCGTCCTCCTGCCTGAAGAGTTCATGCGAGGAGCCTTGCTCAAACTGCCTCGGCTGCTTGTACCCGCCGCCCATACTGGCGTAGCTCGTGGTCGGTTGGTCGAAGCCTTGAAGGCGCGGGGGCGGAGCGAAGCGAGAGGGAGCGGTTGACTTCGTGGCTGGCTGCGCGAGCGGGGCGACACGACGTATAGGCATGGGTTTGATGACGCTGTGGCTTGAGGAAGCTTGCTGAGGCCCGGCAGCGAACGAACGGCGGGGTGCTTGAGAAGGTCGACCTGCGTGAGGCGGCGTTGCGGCCGGCGCGACTGGCTGGGCATAGTAGTTCGTCGTCGGAGCCTGCTCGTGGCCTCCTTCGTAGTCATTTGCGAAGCGGAGCGAGGCATTGTGAGCGATGTTATCGTTGAAGCGAGGGGTCGGCGAGGAGGACGTCGAAAAGGGGGCGAAAGGATGGGCTGCAGACGACGAGCTGGTTCGGTCAGCTTCGCCACCATCTCCTCGAGCCTGCAAGACCTCGTAAGGGACGCACCGAACCCCTCCGGCTGTTCTCCCTCGAAGCCCGTCCCGCCCATCCACTCGCTCTCCGCGTCCGCCTCGCCCAACGTCGCAAGGTACTCCTCCAGCTCCTCGTCGTTGTCGTAGATGCTCGAAGACGACTTGTGAGCCGACGCGAAGGCTCCGGGAGGCGGTGCGAAGGCGGAAGTCGGGTGCAAGTTCGGAGGGCGATGAGTTGGGGCGGGGCGAGGAGGAGGGCGTGACGAGGCGTTCTGCATAGCGACAGTCGCCTTGTTGGATATAGAGTAGTCGACTAAAGTAGGCTACGCTGTTCGCGACCCGCGCGACGACGGATGTGTGAAGGAAGGAGGGAGAGAGGCAGAGACGAGGAGAAGGTGCAACTCAAGACCGCGACGGACTATGCTGCACTCAAGATTCGTACAAGCAGGTTCGACGAGACTAGGGAGGGAGGAGTGCCGCTTGCTGAGCGAAGACGACGGTACATGAGGCAGGAAGAGGACCGCTTCTCTTGTCCTACGGCCTCATCGGACATATCGCTCTCGTGGAACGCAGTCAACGACACCCAGAGCGTCATACAACAGTCAGCAGATATCTCGCCGCGCATGAGGCCGCCCCGCCAGCCAAATGAGCGAGTGAACGGAGGTCGTCGGAGGAGTCTGCGGTCGTCGAACGGGCGAACGAGGTGCAGCAGCAACGGACCACATCGCTGGAAGACTGGCGATGATAGTGAGTGAGTAGAAGCTTTCAAGAATACCGCCGAAGGCGCCTTTGTCGGAATTGCGGGTCGAACGAAGCCGCCAAGGCCTTCGGACTCAGGAGGAGAGCCGCCAGCACCAGCACTCCTAATCCTCGCCCGGCCGCGATACGAACAGACCAACTGCCGGCTTCCCATAGACACCTTGGACGCGTTCATCCATCGACAGTCCCCGTCCCTTGCTCGCCCTCGGTACCAGCAAGCAACCCTCCCGTTTGACCCCGTCCTCCCGTTGTCGCCGTGCACAATTCATCCATCTCAGGCTCATACGCTTCGTGCGCCGACTGCACTGGCGCCCGCTGGTCGTGGTGTTAGGTCGACGATGAGGAAGTGAAGGTCCAGCAGGCGAGTGCGGGACGGCAGCGGCGAGTCGAAGAGCACTGCCGGGGCTTCGTGACAGCCGACGCGGTTGCAGCAGCAGTGCAGCGCGAGTCAGCGTGGTCCTTGTTCGAGGGAGAAGGCGGAGTTCCCGGATAAGAGGAGGGAGCGGCTCGTCCTGCGCCAACGACAGCACCTCGCCCGTGTGGGCCGCTGGTAATGCCAGACCGCAGCGTACGGTCTTACAACGGCTGCTACACGTGCCGCGCCGTCAAGAAGAAGTGTGTGTCCCGCTTTCACCGTTTCCCCATCTTCATCAGTTCGACTCGACTGACCGCCATTTTTCCCCGCAGGCCCCGAAGATTTCGACGGCGAAGGACGCTGCAGCCGCTGTCTGGGCAAGGGTGTCAAGTGCGAACGTGAAACGCCCGTCCGCAAGCCCGGAGGGAACCCTCATCGCGCAAGGACTGTGTCTGCGTCTCCCTACCCCTCTCCCAGTCGACCCAATCTTGCGGCGCAAGTTCCTTCGACGTCGCACTCGCCAGGAATACCCATGCCATCCACTTCCACCGCAACTCCTGCCTACCTCATGAACGGCACGACGGACGCAGCCATCGGGCAGCTCGACCTTCTCTCCGACGCAGCCGTGTTGGGCGACCAAGCCAGCGTCAGTGCACCAATGGATGCAGTCGCCATGCAGCCGTGGCAGCAGGTCATTGGCTTCCACGACTCGGACCCGTCAGCTATCCTCGGACTGCCCCCGCCCAGCGCTGCGACAGCTCCGTTCGACTGGTCGTTCCTCTCCTCCCTGCCGGAAAACGTCTCGTCGCCAGCGACGACCCAAAGTCCGGTCGACCGTCTGCTTGCCCAGGAGGCCTCGCTGAACCTGGATCCGAACTTGCCGGAAGGACTGAGCGCAGACATGACGGACATCTGTGAGTCCAGCGTTGAGCCTATCACAGCCTTCGCAACGCTGACATTCACACTCACAGACAACATGCTCAACTCGGCGTTCCTCATGTCGATGCCGCCAGACGACCGGAAACGGGCGACGATGCGGTGGACGCAGCTCGCTCAGTCGACAAAGCTCGGTCAAGCGGCTGCGGCTGCGACGGTCATGCTGTACCTCGCCTTCGAGACGCCGAATACAGACGCCGACAAGCGGAAGCAGCTCCTTGCGCGGAGCGACCAGTACTTCCAGCAGGCTGTACAGCATCTGAGCGACTCTGCGCCTCTCGAAGGTCAGATCGCCGCTGTCATCGACCTGTGGGCGCATCAGATGCTCGCTGTCTCTCCGCAGGCCGGCAATGCCGTCCTCGCCATCGGCGACTTGTTCGTCATGCAAGCTCGCGGCGTCAATCCTCCACTCGACCTCGATACGCTTGTCGACCATGACAAGGCAGCCCTCCGCCTCTTCGCCTACCTCGATATTCTCCGTTGCGTCACCCAGCCCGCACGAACGATGGTATTCGACTACGTTGGCTTACCAGGCTTCGGGGGCGCGACAGGCGCCGACCGACCAGTCGAGAGTGGACCAGCGAGCTTCAGCACCTGGTTCGGACTACCAGGACCGCTCGTATCCTGCCTCGCCGCATGCGTTCGGCTCGTCCAGACTCGCTCGCATATGACGCCTGAACGCGCAGAGGCGATAGCTGCTGCGATCGAGTCCACCATCCGCGAATGGCGGCTGCCTCGAGTCGACCCGCGCTCATTCCCCGACTCCATGACCATGGTCGCTCACACCGCTACTCTCGAGATGGTGCGTCCAGGACTGCCGGACGCTCAGTTTACAAATCTTCGTGCTGACTCGCCCGCTCTCACAGTGGCGACATGCGACGCTCATCTACTTCTTCTCGACCATCCGCAACATCGGTTGCCTGTCGCCGAACGTCCGGCAGTCGCTCGACCAGATTGTCCAGCTCGGCTCCCAGCAGAAGGCGCCGCAGTCACCGTCAAACATGGACGCCGACACGCCTCATTGGATTCGGCAGTTCCCCTGGTTCGTCGCTGCCACCGTCGCAGTTAAGCCCGACGACCGAGAAGCCTGTCGCGAAGGTCTGAAGGTCTTCTGGTGCGACAAGGCGTCGGAGGAGAACACTCGAGCGGCGGAACGGCTTTGGGAGGTCATGGACAAGACGGGCCGCGAGACGCCCGACTGGCGGCAGTACCTCGCGCAGGAGGGTTTCATCATGTACTTTGTGTAGCTGTTCCAGCAGGAAGTCGAGAGTGTTGTCAATCAATATCGTGTGTCGTTACTCGTCCTCTTCCTTTCCTTCTTTCCTACAACGGCGTTGAGCATCCTGCCTCGGTCACGTCGGCCAACAGCTTCGCAGAGTGCTTTGTTCCGCCGCAAGGTTAGCGGACACCCTCCGTCCCTCAGGCCGCCTCCTCCCCTCCCCTCCTCCTCCTCCTCCTCGTTCACCCACGTTGCGCCCGCTCGCGCTCCTTGCCGCTCCTTGCCACTGCTGCAAGAGCAATCTGCCGCCCTTGGCTTGCGACCGTGGGACCCCGGCCATGAACAAGCTTCCCTCGGCGTGGTCGGCTCCTTCGCTGCGGCTCTCCTTGCTCACCGTCCAAAGCTCGCGACGATGCTTGACTTGCTCCCAAGCATCCACGCAGCCACACAAACGCTCTACGAACCATGCTGAGCTTCAGCGACCGCCCGCCCGTCCTCTTGAAATGGCGCTCGTCGACGACACTCATCCTTCTCGCGGTCTTCATTGGTGGTAAGTTCGAGCAGCCTACAGACGACTTCTGAAAGTTGCTGACGCTTCACGAGTGGCGCAGTCCTCGTCGACACGGCCGCCTTCTCCATCGCAGCCCCGATTATCCCCTTTCGCCTCGAGCAGCTGGGCTACGAGTCTGTCGGTGACAAGGTTGGGTGGATCATCGCCTGTTTCGGCGCAGGATTGATCGCCGCAACGCCCATCGCCGTCTATGTCGGGTGCGTGGGCCGTCTGGACGTTCTGGCTCCGCAAGACTGACCTCCTCTCGCACATCCTGCAGCTCGAAAGTCTCAAATCGACAGCTTCTCCTGCTCGCTGGCTTGCTATCTATGGCTGGAGGTGCGCACTCGCAATGCCGCGTAGACCGACAGCGACTGATCCGTCCTCGACAGCCTTGATCCTCTTCATGGAGAGTAGCAGCTTCATCGCCATGCTCATCGCGCGATTGTGGCAGTGCGTTCGCGACTCTGACGCTTGCAGTTGAGCCGTCCCGCTGACCTCCTCGTCACCTCCCCAGGGGAATGAGCGGCACCATCCTCTGGACGTTCGGCTTGTACGCACTCGTCCTCCCACTACTTGCCGCAGCTACGGTCCCGAGGATGTGCCTGTCGCACACGATGCTGACTTCTCCTGCACACAGGGCGCTCGTCATCGACTCGGTCCCGGAGCACCGCGTAGGCGCCTCGCTCGGGACGGTCATGGCGGGTTTCTCAGCCGGCGAGGCGATGGGTCCACCCATCGGAGGCGTCCTGTACCGCCACCTAGGCTTCCGCGCGCCGACCGTCTTCCTCCTCATCCTCCTCGGCTTCGACCTTGTCCTCCGCCTCGCCATCATCGAGAAGAAGACGGCGCTTCGGTGGATCGAGAAGGGTGTCGTAATCCCGGGCTTCTCAGCGCCCACCTACCCGCCTGCGCATGACGAGGTACAAGGAACGAAGGATGTCTCTCCGGCGGCGACCAACCCTGAAGGCGCCGCCGAGAAAGGCCAACTCGCCGACAGTTCAGCTTCCGCCTCGACCGGCTCTAACCTGTGGCGAACGACCTGGCGCCTTGTGCAAGATCCTCGCGCCTCCGTCGCAATTGGCATCGCCATGCTCTACGGAGTCGTCTTCGGTTTGCTGGACACCGGAATGGTCCTCTACGTCAAGGACCAGTACGGCCTCGACGAGCAGGGCGCCGGGCTTATCTTCATCGCCGTCGTCGTGCCGTCCTTCATTGTGAGCGATTCGCTGCATCACGGAGGCGCTTCGACTGACCCGCTTCGCTCGCAGGTGTCGCCGCTGGCTGGATGGGTGAGCGCTCCTTCGCGACGCCGCCGCTCACACTTGGCTGACCAACTTCACAGCTTACGGATCGCTACGGCAGCAAATGGCCAGCGACGCTCGGCGTGACAACATTCGTCGCAACATACCCGCTCCTCCTGATCGAAGGACCGCTGCCGCTCTTCGTCTTCTTCCTTGTCCTCGTCGGTGCGTGCCTTCCTTCGCATATGCGCTTGCATCACCGCCTCTCGCATTAGCTGTCGCCTCTTCCTTGTCGTTAAGTTTGGCTGATCTTTGCTCTGCGCAGGCGTCGGGCTTTCATGCGTCGTGACCCCGACAACGCACGATCTCAACGTTGCTGCGGCAGCGACACCTGGCGCAGAGCCTGCGCAGGTCTTTGCGCTGTTCAACCTTGCTTTCTCGGTTGGCTCGTTCATCGGTGTGCTCACCTCCTCCTGCCCCCCTTCCGCACTCACCGACCCTTTATGTCCTGCAGGACCTATCTGCGGCGGCCAGATCATGCACTCGATGTCGACGAGGAACGGCTTCGTCACTGTCACGTCGATAGGAACCGCCTTGGTGGCCCTCGCCGCGCCGCTCGTCCTCGTCTACACCGGCGGGCGGTTGCGATGCGGCGTCCTCCGTCGTGAGCGAGTTGAGACTGCTACGTAGACTGCAGTATGCTCGAATACACCTTGATTGTAATCCACCCCCTTCACTTCTCGCACGCCTATTCCCGGCGATTTGACGAAGTCCCGAATTTGACCTTTGCGCCTTCGCCTCATCCTCTCGCTCTGACGCTCGCTTGACATGTCCTGACACCTCAACGATTGCTCTACAACCCTCTCACTCTGCTCACACCGCCTGCGAAGCCACTCCTCGCACCGGAATTCCCGCCTCACCACCTCCTCATCAGTCGACCAACTGCCGCTTGCTCGACATCTCTGCTGACCCGGCGTGTACTGCTGAAGGATTCACGATGGTCGAGAATGCGCGCCCACCGCTCTTCCTGCGGGCACGAGCTTCGACGACCCTCATTCTCCTCGCCGTCTTCCTCGCAGGTTCGAACAGTTCCCTCCTATTCATCTCCCTTTGCAGTTCGCTGACACCGCTCAAACAGTACTTGTCGACACTGCCGCCTACTCCATCGCCGCGCCGATCATCCCGTTCCGCCTGGAGCGACTTGGGTACCGCAATGTCGGGAGCAAAGTCGGCTGGATCATCGCTTGCTTCGGCGCAGGCTTGATTGTGGCTACTCCGATTGCGGTGTATATCGCGTAAGTAGCGGTCGCATTTTGCCGCGAGGCGAGCCGGGCTGACTTGTCCACTCCACCTCCAGATCGAAGACTTCAAATCGACAGATCCCGCTGCTGGGCGGTGCGGTGTCCATGGCTGGCTGTACGTCAAGTCCCGGCTGTATCAGAGAACAACTCGCTGACCCTTCGATCGCTCCGGCAGCCATTGTCCTCTTTATGGAGTGCAAGGGGTTCGCTCCGATGCTTGTTGCCCGACTGTGGCAGTACGTGCGACTTCCGCACACTCTTCGTCCTCTGAGACTGACGCTCTGTGTGATGCCAGAGGTCTGAGCGGCACCATTCTCTGGACCTTCGGCCTGTGCGTCGAGTCTCTGGATTCCCTGCCTCTTCCGCCTGCTGATGCCCCGCCTGTCCTGCAGAGCCCTCGTCATCGACTCAGTGCCAGAGCAGCACGTCGGCAAGTCCCTTGGCATCGTCATGAGCGGGTTGAGCGTCGGTGAAGCGATAGGTCCTCCCATCGGTGCGTGTCGAGCTTTCCGCTGCGAAACATAATCGTCACATACGACCTCGCAGGCGGCGCACTCTACCGCCATCTCGGCTGGCGTGCACCCTTCATCTTCCTTCTGGTTCTCCTAGTCGTCGACATCGTCCTCCGCCTCTTGATTATCGAGAAGAAGACGGCCCTGATGTGGATCAAGCGAGGTGTCACCATCCGAGGCTTCTCCGCACCCGACTATCCGCCCCCGAACAGCCCATCGATAGAGGAAGTCGTCGTCCCACTCGCGCATTCGTCGACGGTGACTTCGAGCGAAGCCACCGAAGTCGCGACGCCAGTCCTTCCGAAATCCGAGCACGACGGCGCAAACCTGTGGGAGACGATGTGGCGCCTCGTACACAACCCACGCGCAGCGGTCGCGCTCAGTATGGCCTTCCTGTACGGCGCCGACTTTGGCCTCCTCGAGGCGGGAATGGTCCTCTATGTCAAGGAGCACTATGGCCTCGACGAGCAAGGCGCCGGCCTCATCTTCCTTGCAGTCGTCATTCCCTCGTTTATTGTGCGTTTCTCGCACTGCAAGCATCGGCGCGATTGCGGAACTGACGGGTCCTCGGATTGCGCAGATTGCTCCGCTAGCCGGCTGGGTGAGCCGCTCTTACCTCCACAGCCTGCTGAATTGCAAGCTGACTCTGCATCCGCAGCTCACGGATCTCTATGGCAGCAAATGGCCTGCTACCGTCGGAATGGCCATCGTCACCGCCGCCTTCCCTCTGCTGATCATCCGCGGTCCCCTTCCTCTCTTCATCTTCTTCCTGGCCCTGATCGGTGCGTCAAGCGTTCCATCGTCCGCTTGACAGGCTGACACGACCTTCGTGCGCAGGCGTCGGGCTCTCTGCCGTTTCTACGCCGACAACCCACGACTTGAACGTTGCAGCAACCGCCACGCCTGGCGCGACTTCCGCTCAAGTTTTCGCTGCATTCAACCTTGCATTTTCACTCGGTTCGTTCGTCGGTAAGTCGCGATCGAACGGTTGTCGCACGATAAACTTCACCTCGCTGACGCTAATCTTGCAGGACCTATAATCGGCGGCGAGCTCATGTCGGGTCTCTCGACTCGCGACGGCTTCGTCGCCATCGTCGTCATCGGCGCCGGGCTCGTCGCACTCTGCACACCCTTCGTCCTCCTCTTCACTGGCGGTCGACTGGGCGAGAAGCGGCGAGAGACGAAGGAGAAGGAGCTCGTAGGCGTCGAGGAGATCCCCTTACGTGCGGTTCAGGAGAAGAAGGCGGACGACTAGACGGAAGATCCTGCATCACTCTCGCTCTTGTTGTTGTATTGAGGACGATGTATCCTCCAACGAGACAGTAGAGAGTTGCGGGCATTGCTAGTGCGAGGATATGCTGCGATAGTACAAGAAGACGCCTACTCGTCGTCGTTTGCCGCAACCTTGAGGTCCTCCGCCCACCGCCTCTCCCGTTCCTCGTCCTTCGCCTTCTTCGTCTCCTCCCACACCCGCTTCTGCTCTTCCAGCTCGTGCAGAGCGACTTCTCCCGGCCGCTCGATAACGCTGAAGAGCCCCTCCTTCTCCCATCCATCCTTCCACGCGACGCCACTCCCACTGCGCTGCATCGCCCAACCCTCCAGCTCGCGCCTCCACCGCAACTCCTTATCGAGCCGCTCCTTGCGCAACTCGCTCTCGATCTTCGGTGGGTAGTTGATCTCGGCCTTGGTCGGCTCGCGCTCGCCGCGCGCCAACTCGCGAGCGGTTTTGAGTCGGGGAGGCAGCTCGTCGTTGTAGTACGTCCGGCGGAGGTACTCGTGGGTTTTCGGCAGCGTCTGGTACGCCTTCTTGAAGTGTCGAGGCTCCTCGTCCGTCTCGAACAGGAAGTCTAGGTCCTTCGAGCCGGTCGGGACGCCCTCCGCCATCTTCGACTCGTGCAGCTCGCCGCGCCTGATGCGAGCGACAAAGTCCTCGTCGAGCAGACCCTGGAGAGATCCGGACTCGGAATCGCGGTTCTTGGGCGGGTCGAAGGGGCGGGTTTGCGAGAGGATGAGGGCGAGAGACATCTCGCCGCCGAGGCGGACGTCGGTGCGGTGGTTCCAGAAGTGGGCAATCTTGGATGCCCAGGTGCGGATGCCGAAGGGGTAGGAGAAGGGGACGAGGAGAAGAGGCGGTTGAGGGGGGACGTCGGTAGGAGGGAGGACGAGAGGCGGTTCGGGCTCGGCGGGAGAGGAAGAGGTGGGTGCGGGAGATGTCGGGAGTTGGCGGTAAGGCGAGTAGGTGAGGAAAGAGACGGGTTGGAAGGGCAGAGGGGAAGAGGCAGGCTCGTCGCCGACAGACTCGAGGCCAGACGGCGCAGCCTTCTCGTCGAAAGGTCCGCCGTCCGGCTTCGCATCGTCCTCCTTCTCAAGCTCGCGCAGCATCAACTCCTCCTCGCGCTCCCACCTGCCATCCTTTCTTCGCTCGTTCGCACCCAAACCGAGCCCCTCCAGCTTGGCCTCCTGGCGAAGGTCAATCTCCTCCCCGTACCCCTTCTTCAATGCCCACAGATACTCCTTGAGCGCTCCCCGTCCAAGAAGCACAATCGCTCCGTTCTTCTCCTCCTGCTTCATCTCCTCGAGATCCCGGTCCGCGAGAACAGCGTTGACGTTTGCCTCCGGAGAGTTGGTGAAGAGGATCGCGCTGTTGACCGGCTCTTGCGCCGCTTCCGTGATCCGTCGCGCGCGGATCTCGTGCGCGAGGGTACGGCCGAGACCGCCTGGGTTCGTGCCGACCTTGAGAGCGTAGTCGGTGCCGGATGCGACGAGGATGGGCTGGGAGGTTGAGAGGTCAGCACGGCGACGTTCTCTCGCCTCAGAACTGCCACACTCACCTTCATGTACCGCTTGAACCACTTTGCACCACGCTCGAGCTCTCCGTCGTCCGGCACGCGCGCACCGTAGACCTTGACCTTCCTCGCCCGCTGGTCCGCCTCGAGAGGCTGCTCGCTCATCCACTTGACCTTGTCGATGTACTCCTGCTGTATCCGCTTGCACTCGCGTCGGTCGTAGACGTACAGACCCGTCAAGGCCGACGAGACGGCGAGGAAAACGCTCATCTTCGGGCCAGGCATGGAGGGTCGCCAGTCGAACACGAACTGGGGGATGCCGAGGTAGACGAAGCTGTGGGTCCTGTTGTAAGCTTCTGCTCACCACCATCCTGCACGAACACCTGCACGCACGGGTTGGTGGGCTTGACTGGCTTTGGCGGGAGTTTGCGGGTCGATGGACCTGGGACGGGCGTGGGAGCCGCCGCCGGTTGTTGCGGCGGGGGGGGGGGGGGGGGG